ATTAATTAAAGTTTTTTTTTTCGAGGATTTCCTGTTTAACGTCTCAGTTAATTTTTCAGGAGACTTCTCCTTTGATTTTCTAGTAGATTTTATTCTAAACATATTTCTGAAGAACGTTTTTCCAGAGCACTTCTTTGATTTTCTAGTAGATTTTGTTCTGAACCTATTTCTGAAAGATGTTTTTCCAGAGGACTTCCCGTTGTAAGGTATAGAATCACCTGGAATTTCAGGATCGTTATTGTTATGTTGAGAAATTTCAGAGGCTTCAATATTTCGTTGAGAAATTTCAGAGGCTTCAATATTTCGTTGAGAAATCTCAGGAGCATCTATTTGCGTAAATATCAAAATAGTAACCATTATTATTTATCAATATAAACTGTAATAGTATAATCACACCTAATATTGAATCTGGATTTTGTTCCTCTTGTAACATAACTTCTAGCTGTTTACACACGATATCCATAGTAGGTCGTTTGCTTCGATCAAAATACCAGCATCTTTGATACAAATCGCTATATGTAGGTGAAATGTTATTGTCGGGTTGTTCGCGCATATTTTTCACCACAATTTGGTCCACCAATGTTTTTTGATCAGTGATGCCTTCAAATGGAAATTTTCTACTAGATATTGACCACATGATAATGCCTAGGCTGTAAATGTCTGATGCTGAAGTAAGTTCCGAGTACCTATTTTTTATGACCTCCGGATCCAAAAACACTATATCTCTTTGTAACGATACTGATGATGAAACTTCAATGTTTAGTTCTAGAAATGCCGGGTTTGATATTTTTATTTTCTTATTATCCATAAAAATCATTTTTGTACTCTTATATATATATATATATAATATTCAATATTTTTGTAAATTATATAGAAAAGAAAAATATAAACAAAAATAAACTTACAAGTCTTTTATGAAGGATTCCTATATCATGTAAATATTTTAATCCTTGTGCTATATCATTTGCAATTGTCAATTTTTCCTCCCGACCCAAATCATTTTCA